GCTTTCAGCAAAATAGCCTAATCGCACCGCTCAGCGTATCTGTGCATAAATCAGGGTCAGGCGTGTTGATGCGATCCTGGACCCTCATTTACGACCCCCCCCTTGAAGGTACCCATCCGTACGACCCCCCGCCCCCCCCCCCCTCCCCCCTCCCCCCTCCCCCCCCCCTTCCCCATCTATCCTCCCTACCTCCTCTGCCCACATTTCTCGCGGTAACCTGCATAAATGAATGCCAATCTCAAAAAACACATGCATGAAAACTTTAGTGAGGTTTCGGAAGCAGAATTTCTAGGCCAATGGGTGCGTCCAGCATCTCTAGCACATATGCACACCTTCAATAATGTTTGAGATTCTGCAAGTTTACTTTTGAATTTTCAGGCATACTTCAGGCCAGCAAATTCGATTCCCGTATGCGACACAAATTTTGACACGGAGAACAAAATGACATTCTTGAACTACAAAAGATGTTTTCTAAGAAGCTCAGTTCTTACCTCTTCCACAGTTTTTCCTGCGAAAAAATCCGCTTTAGCGCCATCCACAACGACGTCAAAAACGTGCATGAACACGGTATTTTGAAAATTCGTAACTAAGGCTAGGAAAAGACTGAGAAGCTGCAAAGAACAGGTTCTGTAGCATAGTGTCCAGACTATTTTTCAGCCCTTGAGAAGCAGTGAGCTCGAAAAAATTCAGATCAGGCTCTCGCAAATTTAGATGCGATCCTAAAAAGCAAAAGCTGAGATTTTTGAGCTTAAAATTTTGTAACATCAGAGAAGTTTTAAAACAGCCTGAAATTTTTATGATAAGAACTAGAGGGATGGCCTCGTATTACAGCAAGTTCGCAGCTAACAAGCTTCAATAGCTCCATAGAAATTTAAATCAGGCGCAGAACGACCCCATACATAAAATCTTAAGAAAATCCGCAGTCTATAAAATAACACCAGATTTCGCACAGCAGTAGCAGGGCTTATTTAAAGTACATATAAATTGTAGGGGCCGCATAAATGGCATTACAAAAAGATTTACCAATTACTGATTGTCATCGTTGATCTACATGTGCGCTTTTGTCGAGTGTGCGAGTCTTCAGTGAGCCTTCGGAAGCAGGATGTCTACGCCAATCGGTAAAGGCTACTGCATAACGAAGGCGCAGAAGCAGTAGCAGTTAAGCGAGCGCGAACGCGACGCGCGCGTATCCTCACCGTTGTAAATTCTGCGCCTCATGCGCTCTGCGGGCTAATAAAACCGCGTTCGCGCCCAAAGATATTGCGCCTTCGTCATGCAGCAGCCTGTACATACATCCAACATCTTTATCACACATACATGCCTTTAGTAGCATTTGAGCTTCTGAAAGTGTTTATTTTTTGGATTTTAGTCATGCCAGTAGGGTTCGATCTCCGTTTGAGACAATATTTTGCGGGAGAAATAGCGATTCCCATAAAAAAAAGAACTAAGTCATAATCTTTCAAAAGTGCAGCAAATGAAGCGAATTTCTGCGCTTGCAAATGTATTCAAATTAATGTCTTTAAATCAAATTAAAGCAGTCGTTTCCAATTAGGTTTTAGTACTCTCTAGCTTTTCACTAATTCATGCAGCAAATGTTCATTGAACACTCCATTTTCTCTTTAGATCGGAAATGTGAAAATAGCACACAACGGTGAAATACCCAGCTGTTTCGAGGTTGATACATCCAAATTGGAATGCTTTGGCACCGGAAGCCTTTCGCAGCTGAAAACATAGTTTGGGTCTTTGGAATAAATCTCAAAGAGTTGACGCGTCATGTTTACAGTTTTAAGACATTTTACAAGTCTCCCTCTAGCTAGCGAATGGGCTGGATTTTATAACATTGTCATTACTCGAAAGCACTGACACTTTGAGAATTTACAGAATTTACAAAGCCTAAGAACGGAACTTTAGTTGAAGCTATGTGATTCCCTTTTTCCAAATTTGGGTTGCAAAGATATGCTTTATATGTACGTGGCACGGAAATGTCGCGTTGGCATAATGCTACGTTGCAATAAATTCATCCCGATTCATCAAATATTGCACTGAAACTGGTCCCTTCTTCACTTCACTAAGTTCTAACATGTCTTATTTGAAGACATGGTTCAAACGATTTTGTGTTAGGTCAGAAAGATACCGATTTACCGCGTCTAAGAAGAAATCAGGTCCCCCTTAAGCTGCTACAAATCCGTCCCTCAAATTTTCGAGTGACTATTGTTTAGTAAACTCCAGGTTCTCTCTTCTCTGAATCTGGGCATCTTATGTCGTAATTTGATGTAGTAGATGTTTTCAAACAAGTGCCAAACCAGTGCTTTCTGCAGACACGAAGTTTCGCGTACTTTCGACTGAAGTTTTTAAAGTTTTGAATGATTTCAAACGCAAACGTCAAACTAATTTGACGTGGGAACAACGGCAGGGCTTCAAAGATGTGCGCGATTTGCTCAAACAACAATCCATCCGTATCTCAGTTAGTGACAAGGGTGGCGAATTTGTAGTAATGCCGCAGTCTTTAGACCGAGAGATTGCAGAGTTGCATCTCTCCGACGCGACAATCTACAAGCAAGTGACGAAGAGAGACTTCCAGATGCAATGTAAAAGGTTGAATGAAGTTTGGGTTTCTGTAGCTAGGGCTGCAGGCCTTGATGAAAGATTAGTTAGCAGGTTAAAAATGGACAATCCGATCTGTCCAGTATTTTACCATCTGGTTAAGACTCATAAAATAGCAGCTCACGAAAATAACTCTATGTCACCAGCAGCCTATAAGGTACGCCCTATAATAAGTTGTGTTAGCGGCCCCACCGACAGAATATCATGGTTTCTCAATAAGATCATAAACCAACTATTACCAAAGGTACCATCGCATCTATCCAATACTCGACAGTTCATGCAAAAGTTGCGGGATACGAACATCGAACATGATAGTGTCATCGAGTCTTTTGACGTAACATCCTTGTACACTAATGTTCAGAACGATGCCGCACTTCAAGCAATGTCAGAGATGTTGGAACTTCACTACAATGATATGGTCACCTTTGGACTCAGCAAAGCGAGCATACTGACCCTCATCAAGGAATGTCTAAAGTGTAACATCTTTAAATGGTCTGGGAATTACTATTCTCAGATCAGGGGGCTGGCTATGGGTCAACGACTGGCTCCAGCCCTTGCGATTTGCTTTATGAGTAAGATAGAGGAGCCAGTACTCGCACGCTTGCCTATAATGTACTGTCGCTACATCGATGATTGCTGTGTGATAACATCGACTCAGTCCGAAATGGACGAATGTTTCGCACTTTTGAACCAGCAATCACAGTACATTAGGTTTACCAGAGAAACCCCGACGGATGGGTGGCTTCCTTTCCTGAACACCCAGATAAACTTATCTGGTGGTAGAATTCGAATGAAGTGGTACAGGAAAGTAAGCTCAAAGAATATCATAATACATGCAAAATCAGCGCACCCTACAGCGACGAAACGTGCAATTATTAAGAACATGTACAGAACAGCTGTAGAAGTTAGCACTGGCGTAGAAGAACGACTTGCATCTACTAGATTGGCTACAACGATTGCGCGCAGCAACGGCTACACAGATCCGAATAACGCTAGACGTCCACGATCTGGTTTATATAGTCGAACTGCACGTACCGACAAGAGAGCCCCACTTTGCATACCTTTCATCTCCGATGAAATGAGTGCAGCTTTGAAACAATGCATTGCGCGAGCACAACTGCAGAATGAGGTTGTACTGGTAAACATCCCGAACGATAACATCAGGAGGCAGTTGGTGCGAAACAGGATATACGATACAGAATGCTTATCAGAGCAATGCATTGTTTGCCCGTATGGAAAGGTAGGAGATTGCGCGAAGTCAGGGGTCATATACCAACTAGAATGTTTGAGTTGCAAGGCTTTCTATATAGGTGAAACGGGCAGAGCATTAAACATCAGAGTCAAAGAGCACTTAGCGAACAAAAGACGAGGGAATTTAGTATCGCCGTTGGGAAAACACAGAGTTGAAGCACATGGCGGAACCGATTTCGAGGTCAAATGTTTTATCTTGGCGTACGAGACAGAAATTTCTGCACGAAAGATACTAGAAGCTTTGTGGATCTCTATGAAGAGCCCAAGCATGAATAACAAAAATGAATGCCTATCAATGACAAATGATCTTTTGCCCTTTCTATCACTATGTGAACAGTAGCCTGCCATATATATAGACGTGACACACCGAGTGACACTCAGTGTCGCCCGTCTTCAACATCTGCGGCTATCGTCCGCTACTTCCTGCGGACTACTAACATCCTTACCACGGTGGATCAACGGTTGGTCTCTTCTGCCAGCATGCCTCTCTGTACGTTGTGCATGAGACAAGGTCTAGACTCGATAAGTACGGAGATGGCGTTTGGCGGCGTAGTTTCATAGGTCAAGACTGCAATCATCTTTCAGACCTCCGAAGAAGACGACCTTGTCGAAACGTTAGGTCAAATAAAGATTCACCGTACTATCTGGGCTTGGCGAAAACATCTACTACATCAAATTATGACTATTGTTTAATTTTACAAAATAACTATCAGTTTCTTGTTCCAGAAGATCACTGTTGGTAGTTGTTGAAGGGGGACGATTACGTTGTATTTAAAGGCCAAATGAGCAAAAAGAACTTCTTGAAAGAGCAAAAAGGCAGGAAAAGATCTGATGTGTTCTGCCCTAGCCGCTTGTATGCAAATGCCATTCCTGCCATTTATCGGAAACTGAACTGCAAAAATAGGTGAAATGGAGGATTAGTGTTGCTTATGACTTACAGAATGTTAGACATAGAGACGTCTAATATAGAGAACGTTAATCACTTATGGAAGATGCCTTTAGCTTGTAACATGGGTTAGTGAAATGAAAATTAGAAAAAATTGCTTCATGTTTCGTGGATAAAAATTTTTTACTTTTAACAGAGCTTTTTTTAGACTACGTTGACAGAAAAATTGAGAAACTCATTTGGGAATTGTTTCAAGATATCACAGAAATGAACCCACCATGTAAAGCTGCCTAGCATAAGCAACAACAACACGTGCAGCTAGACCTCTGATGCGATGACTGCAATGAATCTTTGAACCTTGGAAAAATTGAAACAACGGAAAACATACTACTGATGGCGCTGTATGAGCAATGCTGCATCATCCGTTACTTTGTGCAACCCGCCTGGATATCTGCCGAGGAGATACTCAACATAAGCAGCTTTAATGAAACGGCATTTATAGCGCTAAACAGTTGGGTTGCATGAATTTAGTGCTTATAAAGAGTTTTAACTGTATTTCAGCTAACAAGGAAAGGATACTTGGTGACCGTGGCCTTTTGAAATGAAACGTACACCATTAAATGAATCTTGAAGCGCTAATTCCAAATCTGTTTTCATCATCTGCTGTGCTCTCTTTCGAAAGAAGTTATGAACATTTTTTGTCACCAAAATTTGCACTGTTTTTAATGCAAGATTCACCAATATCGTTAGAATGTTTGCCTACGCACTACAAAAGAGCGTACAGATGAAGTAAAGCTTTACGTTAAGTTCAGGAAAACTGTCACCAATACATCAGAGTTCAAAAAGCCTGGATACCGACGATTTTGACTGCCTAAATCTCGCAAAATCAATATGGAAAAAAGTCCATAACTTCGTTCAGGGAGTCGCACAGCAGATAGTGAACAAAGATTTAGAATCAGCGTTCGAAGGCGCACCTACTGGTATACATCTTATTGCAAAAGGCCACGGTCACCAAGTATCCTTCTCTCGTAAGCATCCAACTTATTTAGCATTACTCCAATAAATTTTGAATGTTGTTTACTTACGAACCACTTTCAGTCCCCAAAAGACTGTCAGAGAAAGTGTGCGGTTCATATCAGCATTGAGCTGCCGATTTTCTCTGCAAATCTTCCTGTCAGAAATATAAGTAGAATAGAAAGCAATTACAGCATGTGTAAGTACCTAAAATAAATTGTATCATTATTTATGGTCCAAACGAATAGGACTAACAATTGAAGACATGTACTGCATTATTTTTGAGAGTAGAGTGTTGATGATAGATGCGAATGCCTAGCAAATTCGATTCAATAAGCTCTTTATTGGAGCAACAGATTATTGATCAACATACATAGATCTGTTGATGCAACAGATCAACGGATCTATTGTATTTTGAGCCTAAGCATCCAAACAAAACAGCCCTAAATCAATGAAAATTAATTTGCGTTTAATTGCCAATCTAGAGTGGGATGGTGAATGAGATCGAATTTTGCAAACTTTTATCAGCATACAATTCTTCGGACTAAAACAGCAAGTCTCACCTAAATTCTTGTATACATGTCAAAATGGTAATCAAAGGTACTTCATGTTTTGCACACAACTATTCAATATGACGCACGCTTTTGAACGTGTCTATGCAAAACGCCTTGCTCAAAAAACTTTCTTGATCACTTCAAAGTTTTTGACTTCTTGATTGTGTTGTTTCAGCAGGATAACCACGATTGGTACGAAGAATACTGCACAGATTGAAGTTTTGAAAGTTCGGTTTTCTTCAGAGTCTGAAAAATCAAACCACAGAATCTATCAGAACAAATATCTTCTCGATTGCAGGAAAACCCAATCTCACAGAGATAAGAGTTCAAAAACTATAAGAATAAGATATTGCTCACCTTAGACGATAATTTGTGAATGTCCGGTAGCAAAACCTACATAATTACAGCCACATGCTGAAGCAGCACTTTCCTCATGTGTCATTCTGTGCCAGTCACCCTCGTGCTCTCAGTGCAAGAGGGTGGCTGGTAGTCAATAATGAGACGTAACGTGTCTGACTGGGTATGATAGTCCACTGAAGTAGTGTAGGAGACGTTTTCGCACAGGCGGTTTCCAGCCCGCCCTGATTTTGACTTGTGATACGTCCCACATGCCGCAAATCTTTCCTCGCCATGCTTTGCTTACAAGGAAAGGATACTTGGTAACCCCGGCCAATTGGAATGCGATGTACACCGTAAGGTGCATCTCGAAACACTGATTCTAAATCTGTGCTCGAAATCTGCGAAACGATCATATGAAAGCAGTTATGAACTATTTTTCGTAGAAAACCTATGTACCTTTAAGTAGTTAAAATCACCCAATTTGATCTATTTTACCGTTTGAAGCTATTGAGGAGACTCTTGAAAGGTGTAACGTTGTATTTATACCTATCTAAATCATATTTAGCATTTGAAGAGGAAAGCAAAATTTTTATTATTGATTTTTACTCATCGCAGTAGCGCAATTCATTGAAAAAAATATAAATATAACTCCATCCAGGCTTTCGTTTCACAGGTATGGAAGACTGTATTCGAACCAACATTGAAAGGCGCATTTTTTTGATATACAACCCATCATGAATGGCCGGGGTCACCAAGTATCGTTCCCTGTTTAGTGTTGAACCAAATTACGCGACGCTTTAAGCACATGTGCGTAAAGATGCGGAACGTACGCTGCGTCCGTTGAGTACGCCCGTAGGCCGCGCAGTCTGGCTCAGCACTTAGCAAGCAGCCGCAAGATGTGTCACGCGCGGTGATGGTCCCGCATGGAAAGCAGTGCGGTCGTGAGAATCTCTAGACCCTCAGACACTCGCACCGGCCGGCGGCCGTTCCATTATTTAGGGCGGAGCCAAATGCCGGCCGGCCACCGGACGAATAAATCACACCGGCCGGCATCCGTTCCACTGTGCAAAAGCTCGGAAGCGCACAAGATTGCGCGTACAGTAAAAAAATAACTTCAAACATTGGACGCGTAGTAACTTTTAAGCAGGAAACTTCCTTTATTGGTTTCCCTTTGTTATTGTTGGGGTCTTCTTGGGTTGCGTCACTTTCTATGTCCGAATTTGATAGATGTTGTAGCCCATTATTATGATTCCGCTCATCACTCTTTTTTCAGATTTGATCAAACTCCATGGTGTTCGTTATCTCTTCTTCCTATATTTCTGCTTAATCTGACTTGAATGGCGAAAAAGCCGAACGTCAGTGAGTTCATGCCTACATGTGTCGCATTACCTTGGGTACAAATCAATGTAACACAAACTAGGCGCAAGTTGTTCAGGAAACAGCTGCAATGTGCATAGTGGTTCGTTCTCGCTTTTCTGATGGAACTACAGCGATTTCTTAATTGCTGTCAGATTAAAATGTTATTTGCGAGTATGGCTCCTATTGGATGCTCCATATATATTCTTAGTGCTAAGATCACTGGGCTATTCGTGGTTTCCTGAGTATTCTAAACTTATCTAGGTGTCGTTGATCTGCCGGCTGCTACTATGTTGACAAGATATTTACGGGTTCGGAAGCCATCCAATAATTTACCGCGTTTCTGCTAATCTTATGGTCACGGCTGCTGGACGCATTCCGAAAGGTGTAAGTTCTTTTTGAATATCATTTGAAACTAGCCTTGCAGTGTTTTCAGAGACTGATACAATCCTCTGTTCTACCCGTCTATACATGCTTATGTTTTTGGTGTTGCTTCGTAAGCAGGCATACATTATCGCAACTCTATGCATGGCATGTAAGTTCTACATGTCAGTAATTTATTTCAATGCAGGTTTTCGAATGCAGCTTATCATTGCTTATGTGTGACATTCGAAAGTACAGAAAGTGGAACATTCTGTAATCTGCCGGCGCATTCGGAATAGATCTTCAACGATATGTGGACCCGGTTTCGCCAAATTACCTTTCCGTATAGTTAAAAAAAGTTCTAGCTTTGTAGCTTCAAATGTATTTCTCATGAATATGTGTTCATTTTTCTTTTTGTCAATGTTTCTTTGCAATGCATCTTTTGGTTAAAGTATGTTGTTATGGATTTGTACCACCTTACATAGAGATTACATGAACATACATAAACATGCCAGCCCGCACTGAACGAAAGCTAGAATGTAGAGAAAGAAATGCTGTGGCCCAATGCCAATTCGTTGCGCCACTGACGCATACCGGCCGGCGGCCGTACGGGTACCGGCTGGCGGCCGTTCCGGCCGAAATGTCGGTGACGGACCGGCCGGCCGTCGAACGGCCGCGAGCCGGTGCGAGTGTCTGAGCCTAAATAGTGTGCTCACTTTAATATGCAATGCAGGCCATAGCTATAGAGCCATTTTAAAAAATCACGTTAATTTGCCTTGTCAGACTTGTCTGGAAAACCACTATTCTATGTGTAAACCAATTATATCGCTATCCAAAACGGCTTCAGATCTCACTGATTCTAACTAGAGGAAAACAAAAAATTGGAAAAACCGTGTATGAAAGACTAATCTCAGCTGTAGAGCCACCTTATATTTTTGGGCAGTACTAGTTTTTGGGCCCAGAGTTTGTTTTGCAAAGTTACAGCATTAAAATGTGAAAAATTTGTTACACCCTGGGCTGGCGCCATTTGAAAAGAGGATTTATACTGCATTGTATTAATTCAAACTGCACAAAAAGTCACATTGTTTTGAAAGCTGCGAGTTTACTGAGTTTTCAGAAACTCTTTCAGAGATAAAAGTTAACTCGGCAAATTTCAAAGACCGGAAGACCCTCCAAGAGATGGGCAGACGTGTTCGTGGAACGGATGGACCAGTTGGGAAATCAGCTGGAGACGATTTTTGCACGTGGAAGTCGTGGACGTAGCCACCGACGTCAGTCAAGAAGATCATGGATGTCTGAAGCAAGGGACAGGGAGAAATGGAAAGTTCTGTGCTGAGGCCTGCACTTCACGTGAAGCCGGGCCAGAACCCGGCACAAGGTGGGCAAACGGGGTTTTCCAAAACGAATACCCCTTTGATCCCAGTAAGTTTTACGAATACTCCCTTGAGCCCAAAAATGACGTTTTGTGCTTGTGCGACGAGATTACCGGCCACACTTCGCCTAAAAGCGCTCAAAAGCGCCCAAACTGCTCAAATTCCTCATATTACTCAAGTTGCTGTACCAAGATAGGAAACAGGAAGAAAAATAAGCAGTAAAAAGGATTAGGGAATGAGAAAATATCAAAGAAACGCAGTCATAGGAATGAGAGACGCCGTTCCCGCGCGTATCGATTGACTGGGGCGCGCTTTTTATCTTAGAAAGCTGGGCTGCTGATGCCATTTTGGGCTCCAACAAGGACAAGAGGAGGAGTTTCGGAACCAAAATTTCACCATGTAGTAAACTTTAGGTGTACAACAGATTTATGTAAAAATTTTGAGAAAATTATGTGAATTGAGAGTTTTGCCGACCTCAGGTGGGAATTAGGTCGGCAAATGCCGACCTAATTTGGAAATAAGTTAAGGAAAGTCTTCATTCACATAAGTTTTTCATAATATTTCATACTTTATTACTTAGTCCTATTGCGCATATACACACCGAAGCCCGCGCGATTTCGTTACCTCTGCGTTGCAAACGAGCCATTTTTCCATTTCTTTGGTAGCGCAAAATTTCCAGAAAAAAGTTTGCCACAACCTTCAGTCACATAATTTCTCAATGAAACTCCTCAGTTAAGTCCTGCAAGCCCGTGTGCATGTACTTACCAAGTTTCATACCATATCGTTCATCTGCGCTTTCCAAACGAGCCGTTTAAATTCACATTTTCATTTACCAGTTTTGCGAAATTCTCGGAAAAAATGCTAATTCCTCGTTCCGTTCACATAAGTTTTTCATAATTTTTCATACTATGTTTCCACTAGCCTCTATCCGTTCGCACACAAAATTTGGTGCCATGTCGTTACACACACATTGAGAACTAGTCATGTATGCAGTTACAAATAGCATCGCTTGGGCGACGTCGCGCGTGCGGCACTTAGCGACGGCGCGGTTTGACGCGCGCGAACTCCAGTGTTCGCCTGTTGAGGCACATAACCAGGGTTGAGCAAGAGGTCAGGCACAAGTCTTTCCAAAACGACCCCCCCCCACCAGTGAAAGCCCCTAAACGACCCTGCTTCACCTCCAGGACCTCAGGCTGTGATAATTCGAAGAGATCAGCCGTTTTTGGGAGGTTCTTGTTTTTTGGAGATCTGTAGGTCGACTTTCTGCGATTGCACAGCACACGCAACTTGACGGCAAGTTTTGGATTTTGGATAGCCCTACTTTTAGAGCTATAATTCCCACAGGGGTGTATTGTTTGGCTCCAAATTTGCAGTATTGCAAGAAGAGGCTTGGAGTTCAATACTCATAGCAGAAATGGAGCGATTTTTAGATTTTGAAAACAAGTTAATCGGGTCAGGCGCAACCCCTCAAAAGCTCAGGCGGCCTGACCTTTTGTGGGGTTGCGCCTGACCCGATTAACTTTATCATTGAAGAAGCTTTTTTATTCAAGTTTTATGTGAATCGCTAGCACAACCCTCGAAGATTCCGCGCCCTGAGCCGGGCATCTAAATATCTAAGTGACCTGGATTCTTCTCCCTTTTTACTTACCAAACATTCATATTTAAGATCGTGAATTCGCCCCGCGCAAAATTTGGTGAAAGGGTGTGCTCTGTTAGATAAGACCACTCGAATGTTTTCAGCATTCCTACAAGTGTTTCTGATGTAGGAATGCCATAACCATGATCCCACCACTGCAAATACAAAGAAACATTCGGCCATGGTCTTCATTGACATTAGAAAGAGTAACTGTCTGAAATGAAAATAGCAAGAAGAAACGATGTTGAATGCTTGGCAGACGGTTCAAAGGACCGGGATGCTGCGAGCTACCAATTCCTCCGCGCGCTGCAGCCTACTGTCATGCTAAAAGGCTCCAAAAAGGCACGCCCTTGGGAGCAGTCGTCGACAAATATCCTTTACACAAATTTTCAGAATTTCTGGAATTCATCAAAGGCCTTTTCCACACGACGCTATATACTGAAAGCTCATACCGTAATTCTAAAGCAACGAAGAGCGATTAGTAATTCACTCCCTACTGAAAAATCTAAGTTGAACCTCTCTCTACCAAATGGCACCGCAATCTCGATTCAAGCAAGAGAGTTAT